TTCAAGGATAATGAAAACGAAAACAGCTCTTATATTTAAAGTCAGAAAATGTCAGTTGACCATGTAACTGCCGGACATCAGAAAATGGCAGAAATCACGTCATTCCACATTGCTACCAAAGGTAGTGCAAAGCTTAAAACAGGAAATAAAACGATCATTAATGATTTTTATTGTTTCAGGCAGCAACTCCACCTTTTCATCGTCCTGGGTGTGACAATAAACTACATCCGCGTCCTGGGTAAGACGATAAACTACATCTGGCAGCAAGGCCTCTGATCAGGAGGTTTTGAGGAGAGTCGAACCACCTCGTAATTGCTGGTTTTTCCAGGTCCACTATGACCCGGGGTGGTAGCAGCTGTTAGGGTTCCATCTATGGGCAAATAGTTAACCCCCATACTGTGGTCAAAACACCATGAACATGTAAAAATAGGTTTTAATACCAGAATATTACCAGCAATAAAAATGTTGTCGGTATTAAATAACCCATTCAGCTTCATATTAGTGATTAGTCAAATTTATTGGATAGTTGTCCTGTTTGCTAAACATAGATGGTTTTTTTTTTTTTTTTTTTTTTTTTGTTAAATCATTACGCCCCAAGCAAGACGATAAGACATTGCATTAAAATTTTTGAAGATTGTCGATGGCAGAGAAGCAAGAATCCGGAAGAGAGTTCCACAGGTGAGAAGTGTGAGAAACGAAACTATTAGGATTATATCTACTTCAACAGTAAAACAATGAGACCTGATTGCCAATCTAGTAGTACGCTTAAATTCATTCGGTCGAGGTACAGAGGAGATGATTTTATGAGAACAACTGCCATGAAAATATTTATGGAAAAGACAGAGGGAAGCCACGTCAAGGCGGTGTGAAAGTGACTGAAGCCGGGATGCCTGGTCAGGGCTAATAATATTATTAACCCTTCTTTGGATATTATTGAGAATCTCGAGATATATAACAGGAGCAGTTTGACCAGATATGGCAGCAGTATCCTATGCACGGAGGAATTGTAGATTTATGTAGAAATGTGTTCGGTTTGGCGCAAGGTTGCATGTCTTTTGACATCCGGTTAGGATCAAACTCGTTGTTAAATAAAAATGGTCAACCAGACTAGTTCGTTAAATTTACCACAATGTTGAGGCATCCATGTTTTTACGGTTTCTCGTTCTCCTTCCCTCTCTTTCATGGCTGCTTTATTCGAACTGTTTTATACGCAGTCACAGGTTAATTCAAACCATACACATTCCTTATTCTTTTTGATAAGATACGAACAGGAAACAGCTTTTCTGCCCTATTCGTTTTCGCTTTTGATAAAAATTATCATTCGGATATTTTTCCTTTTTTAATATTCAATTTTAAATAACACATTTTCTCGTAGTTAATAGTAAAATGTATTGACACCAACACTACGTGCTTTTGCAAAGCACTGCGCCTCAAGTTTATATTAATTTCAATTTCTCTGATTCGTTTTATCTGTTTCTTTTCATTTTCTTTTTTTTTTAAACCAAGATTAAAACCACTTAACAAAATTCTTATAACACTAAAAAGAAGAAAAAAAAACATGAACGCAAAACGGAAAAACGAAACGAAAGAAACAAAGCAAAAAACGAAACTATAAAAACGAAAAACGAAACGATTAAGAAAGGAAGGGGAGTGAAAAAAAGAACGAACGAATGGTTGTTCCTAACACATGCAAACGAAGCAAAAAGAGGAGGCGGCAAAGGAAGAGGTGAAAGAGAAGAAACCAGTCACCGTACCCATTCCAATAATTGCTTTCTTTTATTAAGTATAGAGTACTTTTAATGTAATGGAATTCTTTAGAAAGACAAGTACGCAAGTGGAAAAGGCAGGCGTGCTATAAACTTGAGCAGACGGCTGCTGCTACTGCTGCTGCTCGTTTTTTTTTGGCGGGGGGGCGGGTTGTCGTTTCTTCCCGTTGCTGCTACACGTGGTACCTATCGCGGCTCAGTTCGTAAACACAGAGTTAAAGAATAATTGATAGTATCAAATTCCGCTCCGTAGCCAGAGGATCGAGTTCACGTTGGACCAGATCTTTTATTTTTTACTTATATTTATTTTGTAGTGTTAATTAATTTAGCCCTTCTCTCTTGGAAACAATCCTGTTCTTTTATGTTCACTCTCCTTAATGTTTTCATCTTTCGTTCTCTCACACTCAGTAACCCCCTTGTGTCTTAGTGGTTTTATTGCCTTGCTTGGGATGAAATGATTAAAAAATAATGTAATAAATATTTCATTTGATTTTGTAATATTACCTGAGATTCTCACTGTTCTAAACTCTTCTTCTTCTTTTTCTTCTTTTTCTTCTTCTTCTTCTTCTTCTTCTTCTTTTTCTTCTTCTTCTTCTTTTTCTTCTTTTTCTTCTTATTATTATTATTCATTCTACGACCGTAATAATATAGATTAAAAACAAACAATCTGTTAACAGCATTAGAACTAGCATACGTTATTCTGTCGAACCGGAATAAAGTTTTTGTTATGGATTAGGCTACGGAAGCTGAGAAACTAACGTCATTCAAATTGATTCCTACAGTTACAAATAACTATTAATTATGACAATATTTGACCTAAAAATTTGAAGAATCTAAGACAACCAACATAAAAGCCGTCCTATCGGGTGGCATTTCTACTAGCTCCTGCGAAGGGTTTTTGATATACGTTCATCACATTAGGTAGGGATGAGTAGATGCTATAGGCAACAATAAACATCATAAGAACACAAAATTGATTGCTGCATTTAAGTATTTCATTAATATTTAATCTTACCTTTTAAAAATTCAACAATAATTCTTCTGCCGACACTTAATTTAAAGACAGTTGTATGTATGTTGTTTCTTACTTTCTCTACAAACAATTATTTTTATTTACATGGGTGACTTTCGCTGGATTTTGCAATTAATTTCTATTATTCCCAAATTTTTTTCCAAGGTATAAAAATTGTTATCATACAAAAAAATTCGTCCCATAGTATCACGTAAAAATTCACCAAAAACAATCGCAGGAATGAAAAATTAAAAATTTCAGGATTGCGGGTTCGGATCCAGTCCGGAATGTTTATATATATATATATATATATATATATATATATATATATATAATGTAATATAATATTTGCTCAAAGGAGTCTGCCTGATTCCAAAATGTTAAATTTTTGGCTTTGGCATCTAGGAGTAAATTTGAAAAAGGGACACATTGATTTGGCATTTATTATATAGTAGATGAACTATTGAGAGTTGTGTCCCTTGAATTGAAAATGTGTGACACAGTGACATTGGAATTTATTATGTAGATTACCAAACGTTTATTGACCAGCGTAACGCACTGTGTGGTTTATATTGTAAACATTGTAGAAGCAGATTAGTGTCGTCTCAGTGATAGATTATATTTCAAGTTGATATTTATTTTCTCGTTCTATATTTCATTTGTTCTGCGAAAATTTTATCTGTAGGAATAGATGTTAAGTAAAACTAATAAATTACTCCTTTCGATGGCAACATAGAGAACGTTTTCTGCCCTCAATCAACATGGCTGATGCTAATTTTCAGTATAACTAGTCTTCACGATGTCTTGGGATCATGTTTTGTACTGAAAGTTTGTTCGCAGAAACCCTCTACCTGGGTTTTCTAGTGTGGGAATATATATATATATTATATATATAAAGTCTATTTAAACTCGGCGTCTGTAAAAAAACTGGATAGCATTGGCATCCGAGGAAAAATAGAAAAAAAAAAGACAGAAAGCACCAGAAACCTCCGAAAAGAGCGAAAGAAATCGTTCAGAACCTTAAATCTCTGGTACAATCCAAAAATAAAATTAAAAAAAACAACAAAAAACAGCAACGTGTAATAGGTTAAAACGAAGAATGATCAAGCACTAAGTAAAAGTAAAATTCACCCTGATGATCCCATGATCACAAAGTTACCATGTACCTTGAGTGGCCCTTGGGCCTTTTACTAGGTGAAATTAGAAAAAAAAACTGCGATAGGCATTCATCTTGCATATTTATAAACCTACAATTCGTCCGTGCATTGAATACTTTTGCCATATCTGGTCTATTGCTCCTGCTATATATCTCGAGGCTCTCGACAAAATCCAAAGTATATGTAATGTTCTAGTCCTGACCTGGCATCTCGGCTTGAGTCATTTTCTCACCGCCGTGATGTGGTTTCACTCTTTCTTTTCTATAAATATTTTCCACGCAGTCGTTCTGATGATCTTTCCTCCTTGTTAACCCGACCGCATAAATTTAAAGTTACGACTACGTTGGCAATTAGGTCTCATCGTTTTACTGTTGAACTAGTTAAATATAACCGTAATTTTTCTACTGTTGACCTGCTTCCGTGCTAACTACAATCTGCAGATATTGAAATGCAGCACTAATCGCCAAATGTCTTCCTGAATTTTATTCTTTATTCTCACTTCTTCTCACTAAAGTCTTATTCTCTTTCATTCCGAGTAGCCCACTTGTATCTTAGTGGCATTATCGCCTTTCTTGGGTAGGTGGTTGAAATGATTAAAAAAAAAAATTCTAACCTCGCTTCCACTATATATATATATATAGACACACAAGTATAGGATTGGTATAGACGGAATAAAATTCCAATAACCAAAATCACTATTCTTAATAGAGTGCTCAATACAGTGTAGAGAAAATAGTATTTATTCAAAAATTATAACATAAACATGTTATAGCATCACTACAAAAATAGCCATTTTGTTTCAATACTTCTGGTGTCTTGTCAGGTGATGATGTTGAGTGCAGAAGTGGACATTGAAGTCAACACTCAGAGGTGAGTCTGCTTCGTCAGAAAACAGATTGTCGCCTCTGGGTGTTGACATCAGTGTTCACTTTTATATTTACATACGCTTTATCCCTGATTCTGAGCACTTTAACCCATAAATATAGCATGCCTTAAAAACACACACACACACATATATAGCAAGCCGATTAAAGAAATCCAAGAGGTAAAAAGGTAAACAAAAATAGCATTGAGTAATAAGACTAATAGTATTTATTATGTATTACAAGGTTTTTTGGGCAAATAGGAGCGTGTTAAAAATTGGAATGTTCACAAACGTCTGTGTCTTTTCTTAACGAGGAAATATGAAGTTGAACTGTTACTTTGAAATGGATAGATATAACTATAAATTGTTTGCTAACAGTTTCTTTTCTCTCGTCTCTCTTTCTCTCTCTTGTGGAACTCTCTCCCGCCAACTTTGATATTCCATAATTTAAATGCAATGCTAATCGTAATCTTCTGTCTGCTTAATTCCTGTTCATTTGTTGTCCTCTCTCATTAATAGCAGTTTTCGCGTATTCTTTAACACTTAACAACCTCTTGCGTCTTAGTGGCTTTATTGCCTTGCTTGGCTGATGTCTCTTTTTCTGTCTGCCTCTCTCTCTCTTTATAATTTCACATCATAAACATAACAGTATATATAGTGTTATGTTTATGATGTGAAATGTGGTTCCCCTTGATTATATTGATAAGTAAGTCCTTAATATAGGGCTGTGATTAATGATATATGCTCACAGACTACCCTGCTCTCTCCTCTCATTTGATCTTGTAACTAAGCTTGCTAAGTAATTCATTAAGTTCCGGGTTGTGTTTTAGTTTTAACCAATTATTATCCCAGGTCTCTTTTTAAGGTGTGAAAAGAAAAAAAAACAAAAAAAAAATAAATAAATAAAACTCGTGTCCATATTTTGACTACCTTAGCAGGCCAGGTATCGAGCAGGCTGTTGGAATTGTTCCTGGTTTTACTTTGGTGCTGTAAAATGCTGCACGGAATGCCTTCGATAAGCAGTGACTGCTTATAATGGCTTCCATCTAGGCTGCCGCTGCTGCCTCGACCTTCTTTCATTGAACCGGGTCATTCTAGTCTTGTTCGATTGTAGCGGTTCTATCTATAATCCAAACGAGAAATAGCTTCCATTTTCGGACCAAAGACACACGTGTCTTTGTGACTGTGTGTCCGTCCGAAGTGTATCAATAAATATGTAGCCTATAACCGGTTGAATTTCAATCTTTCTTTCTTTTATTTCCTATGATGTTCGATATCTGTGATAAATATTCGCTACTGAATTAAGCACATTGAAAACGAAAGAGATTCTGTTGAAAAATAAAATAGTAAGTTAAATGCTTTATTCATAGTGTCGGCGAATCGAATCTTGCATCTGGTACTATGTCTCGACGGCTGATTTCCGAAGGTGAAAATTAGAGAGGGTAAACACTGAATTCAAAACCTGTGGAGGGTCGTTTGGGGACCTTATGACTTCTAGTGCACCAGGTCTCCGTATTTGTCCTTCAAAGAGTGTGGTTGGTTCTGCACAAAGCCTTCACCAATATCAAATCATATATGCTGGTGTCTGGATATCGACGGGAGAGTCCACTATATATAGAGTTGTGTGTGCGATTGACTATTTAGGTAATAGCATTTTGCAGCCATTGCCTTCTTAGGTTATGGGAAAGTGATTTATCCTAAAGCTCACACACCCACTCTCTCACCTCTGTCAACCACAGCAGGATGACGATGACTTGACATTTTGTAGCGACATCAGAGAATTGAACAGTATAGGGAAGTGGATTCATGCCTTTCCTAATGGTATGAGTTGCATATTTTCCAAACAGTGTCGGAGGTTTGTGTTCGAACCCAGCTAGATTTTCAAAACAGACGCACTTTTTCTCCTTGTATTTACCTGTCTCAGGGGTCTTCTGTTGTGTTAATGGAATCTGCTTATCTTCTTGGAGAAAGAAGGCATGAATGTACTCCTCCCTGAACTTTGTCTTAAAATTATAGTTATTTTACTAAGCCTAGTGTTGTTTTAGCAAAAAGCCACAATTGTGGGATATCCGGCCAATCACAAGTAATTTGCTTAAGTTTTCTTGGGTACGCAGACGGGTACACACCTTTAAAAATGGGTACCCACTAAAAATGTTTGAAGTAATAAGAGTAATGGTCCTTAAGACCAAAACGCAAGCCATTAGATCATGGCAAATGTGTTCTCGCGATTTATTCATACTTGGGAGCTCTTTTTTTTTTTTTTCTTTTTTTCTTTTTTTTGCGTGTGTCCGTACTGCGATCTTATTCAAACGATTGGAGTCATTGACCTAATCAAGGAGCAGTATGTCATTTCTAGATAAATGCAACAATTGTTAGGAAAATGGGATGAAATATTGATTTTGCCATGTTGGGGTGAAAGTGTGTGTGTGTGTGTGTGTGTGTGACTTGCTAAAAATAAATCTTGTCTCTTTAATATATTGTTTTCCGGAATTTTTGCAACAAGACTGATCATCTTCCTGCGCGTCTCAGATTTAAACTACAACACCAGTTTTTAAAGATTGAATTTCGGATGGAATTTTCCCCTTTTGCGGGGCCCAACCTGCAAAGTGCAAACTTATCACCACCCCTATCCACGCACCCCCGCACGCGTCATACTCGCCTCTCTTTCATGTCCCGATTTTGCGGCAATTTCTGCCCGGACTTGAAACATTGCTCCTCCACCCCCACCGCCGCCTCGTGATTCAGCCGCTTCAAGTATCAAACTTAAACCTCTTATAAACGACATTAATTATGTCTCGCAAATAATTAAAAAAAAAATATTAAAAAAAATTAGAGAGATGAGTAAAGTGTCAGAAAGAAAATGGAGAAACCCAGAATTCTGTGGATAGAGGCAAACAGAAAATGATCCAGATTTTTTTTTTTTTTTTTTTTTTTAAATAAATAAGAAAAAAAATGAAGCCCCATTTGGTTGTCTTTCGCTTTTAATCGATTTTAACCTCCAACCTTCTTTTTGTAAACAGTGTGTATTTAATTCCCCCCCCCCCTCACACACACCCCACGTCATCGCTCAGGACAGGTGTTATCCAAAAATGTCGGATCATATTTCGGGAATCTCTCTTCTGACGTAATATCCGGCCTCTTTTTACCGGATTGACGTCATATCGGTGATGTTTCAACTCTTTGGCATTGCACTTTGTCAGGTTAGCTTTTTTGTATTGTTTAATTTATTTTTATTTTATTTTTTCTAGTGATAATTGTAAATTTTCTTGGAGAATTTAGATTAAACCATCCTAAGTTTTCTCCTCACGTTTTTTTTTTCTTTTCTCTCTCTCACTTTCTTTCTCTCACTCTCTCTCTCATATACACACTTCATCTCTCATTTTTGACTCGCTCTCTATCATTTTTCTCTCCTTTTCATTTTTCTCTCTTTTTTTTTTCATTTTTCTCTCCTCTCTCTCTTCTGTCTTTTTTGTTGCTTCTCTCTTTTTCGTTTTATTTTTTTCTCTCTCTTTCCTCTTTCTGTCTCTCTCTTTCCTCTTTCTGTCTCTCTCTTTCCTCTTTCTGTCTCTCTCTTTCCTTTCATATATATAAAATCAGCGTAGGTATTACCTTCATTTGATCTGACTTGGTGGCGCTGTTTAAAGACTATAAAACTTCGGACATAATCTTCCTCTTTCTCTCTTTACATCTAGAAGAATTATTAGTGCCGGATAATCTTTGTCCCTGCTAGGGTGGGGGACTTCCTTTCCTCTGGGCAACTGAACATTTACACAAATATCACGCTGTCTATACAGTAGTACATTTTCTCTTTCATTTATTACTGATATAAAAATACATGAAAATGTAAAATGTTGAAATTTATCCCATTTCCTTTTACCCCTACAAATGATGACAACCCGTCAGTTAACATGTGTAAATTTGGGTTACCACTGCTTTTAGTTGAGCTAGAATCAGTCTCTGCAAGGCCAGGTTCGTCTTGCAAGTCTCTTCATTTTACTTTTAAAATTTCCTGCCTGAATTTTTTTTTTCCTGAATTTCACCATTTTTTATTTTATTTTTTTAAATTTATTTCGAACATTACATTTTTCGATTAAATTTTAATTATAATTTCTCCTCTGCTTTGATTAATTTATTTTTTTACACTGTTTTGTGGCTTCTCCTTTTTCCCTTATTTCTTTCCCCAAAATATTTCAGCAATATGAATCCGAACGTTAAACACATTAAACTCTTTCATCTTCCTCTTCATTTTTTTTTTTCCTCAACTCCGGCAGCTTCCTTTTTTTTTTCCCACCTTACATCACAACCTGCTATTCACAAATTCTGAAATCTTCAACTTGATAAATAAATACAATAATGCTAACAATAACAATAAGAAAAAGGATTCACGACTCTCTTTTCATTTTCTTTATTTAATTTTATTTAAACATCAATTTCGACCCTTGCTTCCCCAACGTTTCATTTAAATCAGGGTCGGGAGAGAAGAAATGATAATTTCTTCCAGTAGTGAGGGTTGTCCTTTCGACAATTTTTCGGGTCCGTTGGCGTTAGAAATCAGACAAAATGGCGCAAAATCAGAAAAATATTTCTCTTGAGGGCGGTGGGGGATAAAATAAATGGAAAAAAAAAAAGTATTCTATCGTTTTTAAATAGTTTTTAATTAAGTCTTTAATTTTTTTTTCCTTTTCTTTTTTTTTCTTAATTTTACTGAGTTTGTAAATTAGAAAAAAAAAAAAAATACAGCGCATTTACACACTCAAATTTTAGTACCTTATTCGTCCGTTTCATTCATACATATTTTATTCCAGTTTTTATATAATCTATTTTAAGTGTTTCGTTTTTCGTTTCTTTCTCAGTTTTGATTTTTTCATTCTTCTCTCTTCACATTTCTTTGCGCTTTCTTTCAATTAACAATTTAAGACAAGCGTTTCTTTTCTTTCACGATTAAAAAAAAAATTTTTTTAATTTCTTTTCATTCTGTTCTAGCATGAAATTTTAATCTCAAAAATTTCTATAGGCTTTTTTTTCACTTTCAGTGCATTGCAAAAAAAAAAAATTCGTTATTAATCTTTCAATTAGGATTTAGTTGACGGTGAAAATTTTTAATTGATTCCGATTTTCTTCAGAGGCTTCGAAAATATCGCGAAATTCTAAAAATGCCTACAGGAATAGCACCATGGTTATAAAACCGGATTAAAACTGTCAAGTCGTAATTCAAATGCCTTTAAACTGATGTGTGGTAGTCATAAATCCTTTGAAGGGTTGAAGTTGCAAGAAAAAAAAGTGAGATGTAACTATGCAGAGTCCCTCTCTTTGAAATAAATATATATATATATATATATATATATATATATATATATATATATATATATATATATATAATTTCCGCGTATAAGACGAACTTTAAATCCCAAAAATCACACTTAAAAATTGGACATCGTCTTGTACTACTTTCCTAAAGAATAAACCTTAAATTCTAAGATGTTTGTTGGTAAGCTGACCTCGGCCTCAGTACGATAATTAATAATGTACATGAAAATATTCACCTTATCTAATAATCTGATAATAAACGTAATAAAACCATTTCCGCTTTATATATTACTGACATAAGTTCATAATAAATTGTCTGTTCGAAGAATAATTCCATATCAATGAAATCAACTTGTATCCATGCAAACCCAACTGAGAAAATGTAAACATCGAGTTATTGATTGCTTTCACGGCAATGGAATATACTATTTTCGTACATTATCGTACTGTTATTAGCGGTATTTTGTGATTGTCGATGAAGTATAAGTAAATGGCCATTAGTACACCAGGCTGTTTGTTAATGTTTAGATATGAAGGAAGAAGTATTCGCAAGAGATCACGTGATACAATGTAAACAAAACAATTTTGGTGGACTTGTGCAGGAAAAAAACATGATATAGAATCAGTTTTGTAATTTCGTTTATTTTGAATTTCTAAGGATACAGTAAGTAACAACATTTCCAATAACATCCTCTTTATATAATCAATAAGTAGTCTGCTTATACTACAAGCATAGGATAAATTCATACCAATTTGCTGTATTTCTGATCTCGTCTTATTTAAAGATCGCCTTATACGCGGAAATATACGGTGTGTATTTTACACACACACACACACACATATATATATATATATATATATATATATATATATATATATATACATGCACACTTACAATCGGAATATAATACTTAGTCCTTGCTGACGCGTTTTGACATTCAACTTTATCAAGGCAACTCATGATAAACAAAAGAGAAATGTTGTGTAGATACACGAAATAAAAAAAAATTACTAACACTTTTTTTCCCTTTTTCTTTCTTTTTTTTAATGTGTGTTTTTGTTTTTCATGTCGCCAATTTGTTAAAGTTGTTAGAATATAACTCCGACATATTCTGAGATCTTTATATATATATATATATATATATATATATATATAGTGTGTGTGTGTAATGTTGATAATATACTATAGTTTTGGGACCACCCTTTGTATTTTGAGTAATCGCCTAAAAACTGATGGATACGTGCCTTTTTCAAAACTATTTTACTAGCTCACTTTGTCTTTTTGATTGAGTTTTATCATATAATCGATAATAACAATAAAATTAACCCATTACTTTATGACATGCCCGCGAAAGTTTAGCTCTTTTTACCTAATCTACCTTGCTGACTAATGGTAAAAAAAAAATCACTCTAAATTTGTTCACTACTTTTATTTTCCAATAAATCCTTAATAGGTAACGTACTGAAAAAAGAAAGATGTATTTTTTTTTTTCCATTATAAATTTTCAATTTCGATTTGCGGTTTTTTCACGAGGGTAAGCGGGTAAAATTGACGAATGCGTCAGTTATTGACAGGAGTGTAAGGGGAAGCCGATACATCAATCGCTTGATCTGTAACCAAAGTTAATCAGAAAATAGATATCCCCTGTTTAAAGATGGCATTTTCATCATATTACAAGTAAAATACGATTAAATTAAAAATTAATTTAAGTGATTTTGGAAAACTTAGATTTCAAAGAAGACTTATATATAAAATTAATACAACTGTAAAATGTATCACGTAGCAGATGGATGTTGCTTTCAGCATCCCGACTAATATAATTAATGGCTGGGTCCACTCGTTTTCCGAGCACACCTGTGTACTATGGCGGCTAGCCAGTCTCTATCGCCAATACCTGCTCAGCCTAAAGGTTTTAAGGCACGTTGCAAAGGTTGCCTCGCTCTGTGGTCGCCTCCCAAAACCGATAACATAAAGAAGTCGCCTTCTTGACGATTTACTATGGTGAGATTCGAACCCGTATTTCTCTGTCTCCCTCCTCTCTCTATATATATATATATATATATATATATATATATATATATATATATATATATATATATATATAAAATCATTATTATTATTAATCAGCTTCTATCTTTTTATGCAAATATTGGTCGATTTTTGCATGTTTCATATTAACGTTTTTCTTATTGGCTCTTAATGTTTCACTTTAAAAATTCAAGGAATATTTTTATGCTAAAAAAAAAAATACCCAATTCTTGCTAAATCTCTCCCATTGAGGATATTCAATAAAAAAAAAACATTCCTACTTAATTCATTCTTTCCGGTTGCCATCTTTAACACCACCTGCAAAACACACGCACTCTATATATATATATATATATATATATATATATATATATATATATATATGTATATGTATGTGTGTGTGTGTGTGTAGTGTATGTAAAATATGAAAGGAATGTTTTTAAGGGTTTTACACTTAAAATCTTTTTATACTATCTTCTAATATAATTTTCTTTTTACGTTTATAATTCGTTCAATAAACACTAAGAAAACTGCTGTTCTCAGCCTTATTCAATATATATGTCGTCAAATTACATACAGAATCGACAATTTTCTAATTTCCAGTCTCACCCACTCTCCTATAAATTAAACAATAAAATAAATCTATACAAAAAATACGGCGCGTCTCACACACACACACACACACACACACACACACATATATATATATGTGTATGTGTATAAAGGTGTGTGTAATACATCTAACTAGATTTCAATTAACTGCCATTCATTTTTCCTAGATCGTTTTTAACTCCCCCCCCTTTTTTTTCCTTTTCTCTGACGTGTTTGACGCACTTAAGTCTTTTCAGGGTTGGCGAATTATGTTTGAAACGAGAGATTAAATCTTCCCAACCCGCCATCTTTCTACGATCGTGTCTTTATCAATTCCTACTTTTTAATGGAGCATTTAAACGCCAGAATCGTGTGAATGGAAATCCGTTGTTTGATAATGGCGTCAGGATTTTGCATATTTTATTGGCTTTGGTAGGGACAGCCTTATTTCTTCTGAACTCATCTCTCTCTCTCATTTCATCTCTCACGTCTCTCGTTTCATGTCACTCTCTCTCACGTCTCTCTCGACACGCGTCTCTCTCTCGTTTCACGTCTCTCGTCTCGCGTCTCTCTCTCGTTTCACGTCTCGCGTCTCTCTCTCGTTTCACGTCTCTCGTCTCGCGTCTCTCTCTCGTTTCGTCTCGTCTCTCTCTCGTTCTCTCTCGTCTCTCGTCTCTCTCTCGTTTCGTCGTCGCGCGTCTCTCTCGTTTCGTCTCGCGTCTCTCTCTCGTTTCGTCTCGTTCTCTCTCTCGTTTCTCGTCTCGCGTCTCTCTCTCGTTTCGCGTCTCTCTCTCTCGTTTCACGTCTCTCTCGTCTCTCCCCCTCTCTCGTCTTGCATCTCTCTCGTTTCGTCTCGCGTCTTGCGTTCTTGTCTCTCCCCTCTCGCATTCCCCCTCTCACTTCTCCTCTCTCCTTTGCATTCCCTCCTTGCCTCTCTCTCTCCCTTCCTGCTTCTCCTCTCTCTCACAGCTCCCATTCTCGTCCTTTACCTCTCTTTCTCCTTCCATCTCTCTTCTCCTTTTCTCTATCCCTCTCATCTCCGTGTCTTCCCTTCTCTCCCCCATTCTCGTGTCTTCCCTTCTCTCCCCAAGCATTCTTGTGTCTTCCTCTTCTCTCCCCCTCATTCGTGTCTTCCACTTCTCTCCCAAGCATTCGTGTCTTCCTCTTCTCTCCCCCAAGCATTCCGTGTCTTCCCTTCTCTCCCCTCCTTCCGTGTCTTCCTTTTCTCTATCCCCAAGCATTCCGTGTCTTCCACTTCTCTCCCCAAGCATTCCGTGTCTTCCACTTCTCTCCCCAAGCATTCCGTGTCTTCCACTTCTCTCCCCAAGCATTCTCTGTCTTCTTCTCTCCCCCTCATTCATTTTCTCATCTTTTCTTTTTCATCCCGTGTCCTCCTAATCTCCTCCCCAAAGCATTCTCTGTCTTCCCTTCTCTTTTTTTTCGTCTCTCCATTTTTCCTCTCTTTTTTTTTTCTCTGCTCCACTTGCCTCCCTTTTCTTTTTTTTTTCCACTCTGCTGGCCCATTTTTTTCTTTTTTTTTTTTACTCTGCCCCTCACTGCTGCCTCTTTTTTTTTTACTCTGCTCCCCACTGCTGCCTCTTTTTCTTTTTTTTACTCTGCTCCCCACTGCTGCCCGTTTCTTTTTACTCTGCTCCCCACTGCTGCCTTTTTTTTTCTCTGCTCCCCACTGCTGCATCTTTTTTTTTTTAATCTGCTCCCCACTGCTCCCTATTTTTTTCTTTTACTCTGCTCCCCACTGCTGCCCCTTTTTCTTTCTCTCTCCTATCATCACTACCATTTTTTTTTTCTCTGCCTCCTCTCTTTATCTGCCTCCTTCTTTCTTTTTCCCCATTTTTCTTTATCCCTTATTTCCATTTTATGTCCCCTCATTGCATTCTCCCTATCTGCTTCCTATCCTCTAACTGCCTGGAGACACTTACAAAAAAAAAAACAAAAAAAAAACTGAATACTGATAAAACTCTACTTTATGCTTCTACCTTTCCACCCACACAACCGACCTCATCATATTTTCATTTCCTGGTCACTAATTCATTTTTCGCTACAAGCTGTGACTTGTCCATTACGAATAAAAAGCACTTATTCTCTTTTTGTCCACTGCATTTTAAAATTTTCCCATTTGCTCTTTGTTAGAAAGACGACCTTTTCTTTCTTTTAATCTTTATCTTATCTATCTCTTGATTCCTTATTAGACTTCGTATTTTAAAAATGTTCTCTTTAAAGCTTTCAACTATATTTAGAATGGTTTTTTTTTCTTATTGCCTACAATTATAAATAGGTAAAATATTTTTGAACAAGTTAGTTTTATTTCAAACCCATGTTACTTCACATTTGATAATTTTTTTATTGACAGAATTCTGGCTTCCCAATGGGATCAACTCTTGGGGCTATATTAACATGTCTTTTCTTAAAGTTTCTAGAAACTGATCCTTTCCAAAACATTTATGTAAAATATATGTAGATTATGATATGAACTGAAATATGTTTTAATAAATTCAACTGGAAAAGTCTATTTAAAAATTAAATATCGTTCTTTGAGTTTCATAAAACGTGTTTGATTAAATTCTTGTTATATACATATATATAGGATGCACCGTAAATGTATCATAATAATGAGCATTTTTTTTTTTTTTTTTTTTTGGTAACTTCCCTACCATCAGTGGGTGACATTTCTACATTCATAATGCTACGACCACTGTCAATCTTTACTTTCAATGGAAAGGAAGCAGGGTGATTTTAACTCACACACAGATACTCATACACATATATTTGCAAGGATTCAATAATTATAGCGCTTTGTGTGTGCGTGTGTGTCTATATATTATATATGTATGTATATTATATTATGTTATATGTATATTATATTATGTTATATGTATATTATATTATGTTATATGCATATATATTATATTATGTTATATGTATATATATTATATTATGTTATATGTATATATATTATATTATATGCATATATATTATATTATATGCATATATATTATATGTATATATATTATATGTATATATATTATATTATATTATATATATATTATATTATATATTATTATATTATATTATATTTATATATATTATATATATATATATTATATATATATATTTATATTATATTATTTATATATATATATTTATATATATATATATATATATATATATATTATATGTATTTATATATATTATATATATATATATATATATATATATATATATATATATATATATATATATATATATATATATATATTATATATATATATATATATATATATATATATATATATTTATTTCATATATATATATATATATATATATATGTGTGTGTATGTATTATCTTTTTTTTTTTTTTCTTTACCTGTCACGTGACCTAATTATTTCAAGATAAGGTTGACTGTTCTTGCTCTCTGGCAATCCGTGTTCAAACCCAAGTGTTAGCAGCAATACTTTATTCGTATATGACATAAACGCAGTCTTATTTGTTTTTATGTGCATTTCTAATATAATTCTGTGTTTGCTATTAAATCTAACCATTGTTTTCTTTTTATCTTTCAGGTAAGCCAATGAGCTGCTTCCTTCTTTCTCGTGGCGTGATTTATAGGTATAGTTATCTCTAAACTTATATGTCTGTTAACTGAAATACAAAAAAAAATTACCAAACTACACTTTCTTTATAATAGCTGATATCTGAAATGCCGAGCGATGGTGAAAAATAATTGAAAAGTACTTATTATTTAACATCAGCCCCCATGCTTGGGTGTGGCTATAGGGTCACTTGCACAGCTGGGATACTCTCTTCACATATCTCTCTGCAAAGCTGGAGAGATATTCATTTAAATATAGTGTGTATTGGGTTCTGTAGACCTGTCAGTTCAAACCGCAGACGATGACCCCCAACTTGATACCTCCCCTTGGCCACAGACAAATGACATTCATACCATTGGGAGGAACCCTCCACCCTTGCTGTTGATTTCAGTCTAGGGTGCCCTCCACCCAGTGACACCGTCACTTCATTAGCTGAACTTAGCTTCTGCGCTAAGCTTACCTCATTCTGTTAACACCTAAATGAATGTTCATCTGCTCATTGTTAGGTTTTGTTTTAATCCTGATGTATATTTAGCCCCCATTGCTGAGGGGTTGGAAAAAGAGATGGATTCACACATTACCCAAAGGTATTTACTCTTCTGGGTATGATAAACTACATCTGCATCTAACAGCAAGGCCCTTGATCAGAAGGTTTTCATGTTAATTTATCGTTTAATTGTTCGTGTTCCTAGATGGTAGCACCTGTCAGGGTCCCAGCTATGGATAAATAGTTAACTCCCCAAAAGGTGTAAAAACATTGTGAAAGTATAAAAATATGTATTAATACCAGCAATATATTTTTGAAAAAAAATATTACCATCAATAAAAATCTTGTCAGCATTAAATAATCCATTGAGGTTGATATGCAGTAAACCAAACCAAACCAAACCAAGGGTAATTATTTGAAAATGGATGTAAGAAACTTGGGTCATTAATATTTACACCACCTGTGCCTCAAATTTTGAAGAGAATTTGTTTTTCATTTTGATACAACTTTCATTATACTGTCTGGTCTAAAATGGTTTTGTAGGATCAGCGACCTTATTTATTGCGTAACCCTTTTAATTTTGAAGAGAACTAAAGTTACTTCATTTTGATAGTAGTTTCATTATTCTATTTGGTCTAAAACTTGTTTTATCGGATTGGAGAATTTGTCGATCAACCCACATGTATAAAAATTGGGGACTGTGATGTCTACTTTCTGACTTTGTGGGATCTTGTCAACGGTCCTGTTAAATTAAGGTATTCAAGTAAGAGAGAAGATACATTTCTCAAGTGTAAGTGAACGTAAAAAAACTCAACTGGAATTTGAACTTGGCTCTCCGATTTCTCTTTCCAGTGCTGTTATCCATTTCACCACTCGCACATCCAATACCTGGTATTTCCAGTGTTCACCCTTCAGGCTCGATGTGATCAGATGCAAACCAGTGTTTCGACATTATATAGTGATTAGAAAAAAAAAATTTCATAACTCCAGTTAACAAATTATAATACTTGTAAAAAATTAACAAAATATGTTATCATCTTTGATAATATAGGTCAATTAGTATTAATATAAAACTTTACTGGATATAAATTGGGGGGTCGGTTTTCTATTGTTATTAAGTAGTAAGCTGATAGCCTATAATTACTGCACATAAACATAATTAAAAATATATAAACACTTCTATCTCAAAGCCTAATAAAAGTAGACTTTTTTTTTTCTTTACTAAAAACTTGTGAGATTGGTTTGAAAAATGAAATTGTTTCAGCCATACTTTTATATAGCCTTCTTCAGTAGCAGGAACTATAAAAATTGAAATTGTTTCAATCAAGCTTTTATACAGTCTTCTTCAGTTGTATGAACTACAAATAAAGGGATTTGTTTTTTCGTTTTTTTTTTTACAATCAGTCCTTTAAATCTAAGTCAATCATTTGAAGGAAAGCCGCACCAAAAAGAATTCAACGGACAGAGAGCTTGTTCTGCTTTCATTACGGATTATACATTTGAATAAAAGGTACACTGGATCAACAGCAACATAAAGGAGAGGTTCAACAATCAGAACATATCTTTGACTTTTAACAACTCGTCTTGAAATTTACAGGCATTATCTTCTGAAGGATTTCTACATGTGAAGAAGGCTGTAGAATGGTTTGGCTGTAACATAAGCAACTTGTGAATCAAGTTCTCCCATTCAAAGAAATCTGGGATTGTGAATGACCCCGTCTTAGACTTGTGTTTCCCAAAATGTGTGATGGAAAGATCCAGAAAGTTGGCAAATAACATAAAGGGAATTAATTAGAAAAAATTAGGATGGCACGGTGTTATTAGAAGCAAACAGAAATTGGTTCTTTTTATAAATCACCTAGATCCTTTCATACAAATGCAGGTGTCGCACTTAAGCCCTAATTTGTTCTTAATGTTCATCAGTGACATTCCCAATGATATCCGTTCTCAATTTGGGATCTCTGCTGATGACAATACCATTTACTCCTGTCACAATAGTAAATCTGATCAGATCGATAAGGTGAGATTGGCAGCTTATGTCAAAAGTGACTTATAGTCTGGTGCAAAGGATAGCTTACCAAAACAAACTGCTCTCTATTGATCATCTGAGAGACCCCTTCTACCTTTCACCAGCATGGCTGATATTAATCTCTAGGAAAGTGACACATTGCACCTTCTCGGGCCTAACATCCTAGGCTAACATGAAGTGAAAAGACTATACTGAATCCATTGTCAGACAATTTTTCTCTCCTGAATCTATCTTGCATATCTATGTCTACTAATCATCTTCGCTACCATATATGGTCTGGTGCTTCTGCCTTTTATTTAGAGATTAGCAGGAGAGCCTGGGGATGTAACAGTAAGAGATAGATCAAGTATCGACCATCATAAACACTGAAAAATAAAATTGACAAAGATTATTGTTTAAGGTTGACAGACACACGTCTTAATTAGTTTGTTTTTTGGGGTTTTTTTACGAATTGGTCAAACCCAAACTCAAACAAAAACATTGTTTTCAATCGTTATGAGTCTATCGATTGAATAGAATTTTATTATAAACAATTGTCTTGTAAATGGAATTTTTAAAGCATTCTGAATGTAAAAATAAAGAAAAAAAGTGTGCAAGACAATAAGAAACACTACCTGCCAAAAAAAGTGAAGTTTTGTTGAAATCAGTTGAAAAATGTAGAAAATCTGATCCCATATATAAACGAACACACACACACACTCAAACAACCTGGGATTTATAATAAGTATAACTCGATATGAGTTGTCCCCTCTTTCATTCTGGCGACAGAATCGTGTTTTATTGTGTTTTCAAAT